CTTTGCCATCTCATTTCTCTCACTGGTCAATGGGACTCTTGAGTCAAACTTTCTCCTCAGAATCATTTAAAAAATAATTTATAGCAATGATATTTAAAAAAAAGTACTTGCTATAACCCTCATCCAGTACTGGGTCGGTAGACAGAGCAAGTCAGCCTGGCAGTGACCTTTGAGGAAATGATACGCTGTCGTCCCCACTTTCGGGACCATTCACTCCTCTACACTGAGTCGGTGCTCACACCCAGCCCTCTTCACCCCGTAGATAGTTTGACCCCGATACATGAATATGCACATTTAGTCAGACTTACACTGACGTGAATGACCTGTTATTATAAAATAGTTTTTAGGGCAAACTCTAGTAAGCGAATTAAAATCTTGTCTACCCTAGCCTTCCTGCTTATTATGGTAAACAAGTTAATCCTGTCTCTTGTGATTAAGTGACTGTTGGCTTCTTCCTCTCTGGGCTCCCACAGTCTTTATTGAAATAATGGAACACATTGCAAAGACAGCTTTCCCAACTTATCTTTTTTTTTTTTACATTTATCTTCAGACAGAGTGGGAGGGAAGGAAGGAGGGAGAGAGAGACATTGAGTGGTTGCCACCCGCACGCCCAACCAGGGCCAGGGACAAACCGCAACTGAGGTACGTGCCCTTTGCCAGAATTGAACCTGGGACTCCCTGGTCCGAAGGCTGACACTCTAACCACTGAGCCAAAGGTCAACCATTATAATAGTGCTTTTCAAAGACCTCCACATTTAAATAATTCTCTTTGCGGTGGTAAAGACTTTGAGCCTTCATGGGAGACTTAATTAGGGTTAGAAAATAAGTTACATATAATAATTTTAGTTTACTATTCCTAGACATTTACATATTTTTTCTACTACATTATTTAATCTAGTATCTCAGCCTCATTTAGCATAGACCACCACTGAGTCCAGATTTAAGTTAAGCAACCAAGAAGACAGTTGAAAGCAACCTGGATCACACAGAACTAGTGTATTGGCTCCGGTGCTTTGGGCATTTGTTTCTGTACATATAACTTCAGTAAATCTAAAATTATGTTCTTCTCCCTCTAATTTAGCATTGTCACATTTATTCTTCAGATTTTCAGTAATAGAATGTAAACAATTCTTGTCATTTTTCTTGTTGTATGCTCATGGTTTGACTCTGCAATAAACCTCAAAGGGCATGCTGAAATATATCTCTAGTTTTAGGTACACAGGGTGGGCAAAGGTAGGTTTACAGTTGTGAGGACACACTGTGATTGTTGTACTATTTTCCATACAAACAACTATAAACCTACATTTGCCACACCCTGTAGAAGCACGAAAGAGTGGGACGTGGGGCGAACTGGCGATCGTTGAGCAGTATTAGGTAAGGTTTTACAATCAAGGCTCCCAGTAAAGCAGGAAAACACTTAATGGAAGAGGGAACTACGTTTGGCAAGAGAAGAGTCTCGGTTTTAAAGGGTTGGGGCTACCGATGGACTCTATTCTAGACCTTAGGGTCTCAGCCTTTCTCAATCAGTTTCTTAACTTGTACCTTAGAGAAGGGCTGTGAAATCAACCTACATTGCAATTATACAAATTCAGGTCACATACCGTGTCTGACTTTCAGAGATCTCAGCCAAGTAACTGCAGATATAGAAGACTCTTTTTTTAGGGCAGTTATAGAAACTCTTTATTTGATGAGTGTGTCTTGAGCCACGAATTTTAAATATTGAGCTTGGTATTTTCTTTCTTTATGCTTTCCTGTGTGGAAGCAGGGATCACTCAGACTTGCCGATAGTAGGTGCTGCATTCCAGGCTACTACCGGTGAGCATGTAAGTAACAATTTTGCCCCATGCACAATGAAATACCAGTGCCTTAATGGTCTTGGGATCTTCACTGCCTTCAAACCTCACTGGGGAGGAGAATCAGTCAATGTTTCCTATTTCTCTGAGGGTCTGTTGACTGCAAATTCTTTGGCACCAGTTACTCTGTGGCTTACTGTTCTAAGTTTGAATCATCTCTTGATTGTTATAACAAAAAGGGCTTTATTAAAGGGCATTGAATACCTTATAGAATCTCTAAGATGGCCAGATAATCAGGCTTTGACATTAGAAACACAAATTTCAAGTTGAACCAATTGTATCTAAAGTAAATCCTGCCTATCCTCACTTTAGAGACCCAATGTTGTTTCCTTTTACCTTGGAGATACTTTTGCAGAAATATGTATCCAGTGATTTTCCTAATCCTTTGGCTCATATTACTAGGATGAGAGTTAGGCAAAGATATTAAAACGGAAAGGTAAATCCTATGCTCGCTTTTAATTGGCAAGGAAGCACTGCCTTAAATGTTTTATAAACACTCTGCTGTAACAAGACCAACAACGTACGCATTTGTTCTTTCTTTTGCCTGAAAAGACCAGCAACTGACTCTGATTTACCTTTGGGTGAACTTTTGTTTTTGAAAGTAAGCAGATTTTTTTTTTTTCCTCGCTGAGGTTGAAGAGTTGGTACTTTTACTTCTGTTTCTTTTAAGGCAAATAATTACCTCAGTGCCTTTTAATTTTGTGGCTCTGCTAGTTGTTAGTTGAAAGGTAGGAACCCCATTTCTGTTTTATTAAAGCAAATGAACATTTTTCAGTAAATGAACATTGACAAAGAACTGTTTCCTATCCTCTTTTTAAAATGTCCTTTGGGTCCCGAGCACAGAGTTTTGGAATTAAAAAAAAAAAAAACCCAGGTAATTGATCATTTTAGGCTAAGTGACTAGAGTCCCAGCATTCAGATCTTTCAAGCGAAGGAACTTTGCTTTTATATTAAAAAAATCACTTAATGTAATAGGAAACAAAAATGAAAGAAAGACCTAACTGTATTGGCTGTTTATTCTGGCTATGTCCTTTCAGATAATTGTTTAATTCTCTCCTTTCCTCCTTGTTTGCTGATACAAATGCCCCAAGAGCTTTTCGTCTGTTCTCTTAGAAGCAGACCACCATTTGAAAAAAAGCACACAGTTCAGGAAATGTAAACTTAATGCAAAATCTTTACTCAATCTGCCTTGAGTTTAACATCCTATCATCTTGCATCTTCATCCAGGAGGTCTTTCAAGACATAATCTCAAATAACTATTTATATGCCCGTTGGTGACCTCAGTTAAAAATTCCTAGTGGTGAATGTTTGATATTAGTGGATTACTCTGAAATCTGAGCATATGTGAGAGTAAAGCGAGGAAGAAAACTGTAAGTAGCAGAGTACTATTAGATCTAGGCTTCGTCACAAAGTGTTGGTGAGAATCCTGCAAATATACAGAAATAAAGGCTCTCCCAGCTCAGATCAGGCTCCTGAGAATAGACTATAGACTCTGAGATTTCCACATAAGAGGTTTATGGGATGAATTTTTTCTTATAATTGGTACCTGCACAGAAGTAAAGAAAGCAGGATTGGGCAGAGGGAGAAGTTCAACTTTGATAAAGTTTTAGCAGTGGCCTGGGTGATCTCATGGGGAATTGTGGATGGAGAATGGCGGTTTTTGCATGCAGTGTCCTTGTGTTTCAGACAAGGGACTCTAAGGAAACTCAGAGCTTAGGAAACTCCAATACCTCACAGCAGAATGCAAGCAAATGTACTCAAATGTTACCCTAAAGACACAAACACAGATAATTCTGAAATGATATCATTAGTGCATGGCTTTTATTACTTATAGTTTGGGCCCAGAAATCCTTAGGATGAGATATCAGAAGCTTGGGCAAGTCTTTGTATTACTTTATTACTGAAGGTAAAGGTAGATGCAAGGGAGGTGAGGTTTGGGAGACATTCTGCAGTTGTAGTTGCATAACTGATGGGGGTGGCTGTTCTGGCTTTCAGCCCCCACACACTCCCTGTAGCTATCTTCCGGCCAGGGCAGAGGGTTGGTCACAAAACAGTCCGTTCTGATCTCCACCACGGTCGTGCTCTCTAGATGATGTCTTCATCTCAGAAATATTAGTTTGGAGTTGGACCCGGGTCTGAGCTTGTCTCTTTTGTTGGATCATCTGACTTGACAGTGGCTACACAGCAGCACTCAAGATCTGGAGAGTCTACACTCGGCAGCTGCAATGCACAGAAAGACTTTGTAGAACATCAGACTTGGAAGAGCATCAGACTTTGTAGAATGCTTCAAAGCCACAAGTCCATCTTAGCAAACCTAGATAAGAAAAACATGCCCAGGCCTTTTTGGGTTTATCTTGGAAAGCCAAGTGGCCGTCTCCTTCTGCTTAGAGATCAGTTGTTCTGTCTGACCAGATGTACCACGAAGTCTTGGCAATGGCATGGATACCACCTTTTCTAGTTAACAGAGAGTTTAAAGCTAGTTGCAGTCGATTGTCACTAGAGCCAAACAGTTTTGACTTGAGCTTAAAAGCAATTTAATTATGAATATCTGAGCAGCATCTCCAATGGTATATATCCTATTGTAGACTTGCTGTTGGGGTGTTGTGCATAAAAAGTGAATCAGCGATGCTTTCGGTTAACTTTCCAGGTTAGTCGTTTGTGGTTTCATTTTGTAAGCTCCTGGGTTTAAGCTTCAATGAGAAATAGTCCATAATGGCCACAGGAGAGTCTTCTTCTTCTTTTTTTTTTATTAAAAAATTTATTTTACTGTCTTTTTATAGTGTGTCCATGAAAATAAAAGTCAGGGTGGCCTTTGGTTAATCCCCCAACAAGGTGACAAGAACAGGAGGCAATGACAACTATATTCTCCTCTCCAGGAAAAGGGTCTTACCAGAGGCAAGCAGGGTCAGGAGGAAGGCCCGCCCAGGCCCACCATGCTGCAGAGGGCCTGGTCCACTGCCTCCATACAGGACAAGGCAGGGCAAGGCCCGGGGAGCAGGCATTGCCCCAGGCCATGCCCAGCGCCCCCGAGTTAGAACACACAAAACTACCCCCACCCCCCACCCCCCAACAAACACTGCTAAGGCAGTTGGCCGGCAGTTCCAAGAGCAGCTGGCCGCCAAGCCAGCCGGACCCTCACGTGTTTTCTTAGAAGGGGCTGCCATCCTCAACCTGCATAGAGTAGTAAACCAAGAGCAGGAAGGCAGCAAAGACCAGGAAAAGGAACAGCTGGCCCCAGAGTGGGACCTGGCGGTCCTGGCCCAAACCAGCCCCAGCAGCCTGCTTCCCTGGCCGGATGGCACGGCAGGTGAGCCACGAGGGTGGGGGAGATGAAGATGAGGACGCAGAAGAGGTGGAGGAGGATGTGGGATAATAGTACAGGCCCGGGGAGCTTCTGGAGACGTTGGAAACGCGGTGGTAGTGCGCGGTGCTGTGGTGGGCACTGTCCCGGCCATACACGGGGTGTTCCCCATCCTTGCCCTCGTCTTCCGAAGAGAAAAAATGATCATCATGTATCCGGTGGTGACAGGCGTCAGGCTCCTCGTAAGTCCTGGTGCTCGAGGAACTCTCCCCATAGTAGTCATCATCGTAGCCCTTAGTCTGGTCAAGGAAGGCATCCGCTTTCTTGGGCAGATCGTACACGTCCGAGTCCACCGACGCTGAATTGGAGTCGGAGAGTCCATAGGAGTATGACAACGCGGACGAGCGCCTCCGCCTCTGGGGCTCACACTCGAACATTTTCTTTTCGCAGACCTTGCAAGTGGAGCCCAGCTCGGCGTCCGACAGGACCACGTCGTCATCCATGGTGGGGGCGAAAGCCAGCAGCAGCCCGGGCCTGGCGACACGGGCCTGGCCACCCCGGCCTGGCTACGGTTGCCTCGGAGCGCAGCGGGGGCAGCGCGCGCGCCTCGGCAGCCGCAGCCCACGCGTCACGCCCTGCGGGAGATTCCAGCACCTGGAAGTGTGTGTTTCGTGAAAACACAGAAAGCTTAGTGTGCACATAAAAATGAGTATTTTATAAATAGAGGAATTGATGTTTAGCGAAGTTAGATAACTTGGCCAAGATCACATAACCAGCCCTGGCCAGTTTGGCTCAGCGGTTAGAGCGTCGGCCTGCGGTCTGGAGAGACCCGGGTTCGGTTCCCGCTAAGGGCGCGTACTTCGGTTGCAGTTTGTCCCCGGCCCTGGTTGGTCGTGCGGGTGGCAGCCACTCGATGTGTCCCTTCACGTCGATGTTTCTCTCTCTCTCTCCCTTCCTCTCTCTCCCTCCCACTCTATCTGTACAAAAAATGGAAAAATATCCTCGGGTGAGGATAAAAAAAAAAAAATATATATATATATCCTCGGGTGAGGATGAACAACAAGATCACATAACCATTCAGTGAGGAAGTTGAGATTTGAATGCAGCCCCCAGTCCAAAGCCTTGTTTTAAACTGCTGCAGTATAACTACTGCCTCTGTGCATTGAGATTGTTCCCTGTTCTAAGGGGCTGCGCTTTGAGAATATTAGTGGCAAAGACTGAGCTACCATTTTGCTACCATTTTGGAAAATGACCCTTTCACAAAACTTGGGAAAGCTCTGTAGAAGCTCAGGGTGGATCACCCCTCAATTCAACAGTTGTAAGTGGAAATGGTTTCCTTGAATGGGTTCTGAAAACATTATGGCTTAAAACTCAAGTTAATTTTTAGTAATCACACAAATATGTGCAAGACACTGTTGTTAGGCTGTTTGGAAACAAAGTAATGTATAGTTTAGGTAAACTTGGTGTGAGCAAGTGAAAAAATAAACAGCTGCCTAGGGGAAGAGTCACCCTTTCATTGAAAATTGTCAGGCCAAAGCAACCCCTTAAGAACTAGTCTTATGACTAGTACAAGTATACAGTTACCCACATGGTATTCTGGACACACAGACACTTAGTTCCCTAAACTCTTAAGGCTTTGTAATTGTTTCTGAAATTTTATAATTAGAGATTCATTCCTTTGAGGTGTAATAGCTTTTTAGATTTTGTGAATGTTCAAGACTTTGACTATATATATGTGAACACCAAGGGAGGAATGTTTTAAAGACTTGGATGATACTTAAGAGACGAGAATTGGCGGCTAGCTAAGACCAGCACCCTGAGAATTGTGATCAACTAGGCAGGAGGGAGAGGCAAGGTTCTGTGGGATAGAAGGGGACTCACTTCCCAGCTTGGTACCTTTAGCCCTTTCCTTCCCAAATGTGTCTTACACAAGCTCTAAATTTCTTTAAATTTTACTTTAGAACATATTGTTTGCTTTTCACACTTTTTCCATATTGCCATATAATTTTCCCCCTTACTCTGTTGAAAAACATGTCTTTGTTTCAGACATGCACATATAAACCCACCCCAAACCCTACATCTAATGTAAGAAGAGAGATGATGTCTTGGACTTCAGTGTCCAGTGTGGCATTGCTTAGAGGTCAGGGTTTAGAATAAATGAGTTTTTTGTCCCTTCTTGCATTATAACTTAATAACATGGTGAAGAGATTAAGTAACTTGGTGAATGATGCATGGTTAGGAAATGGCTGTATGAAGTGTTTGGTCTCTACATCCAGCCCTGTGTTCCATGCCCAAGAGACTTTCTGTTTCTTTCTTTCTTTTTTTTTTTAAAGGAAGAAAACAAAAAGTATCAGGGGCAGGAGATAAGCTTTCCTCTTTCATAATTCAACTTTGCTTGTCCCTAAGTGTGTAATAAAAACTAAACATTTAGCCCTGGCTGGTTTGGCTCAGCGGTTGGAGCGTTGGCCTGTGGACCAGAGAGTCCCGAGTTCGGTTCCCACTAGGGGCACATACCAAAAAAAAAAAAAGTCTGTTTAAAAAAAACCCCAAAAAACAATTAAACATTTATTTCCTTCAGGATATTCTATTATCTGATTCCTCCTGGCTCTCTGGAGGGAGAGCATTCCAGCTAAATGTTTTCTTCCTTCAGAATCTCTGTTCCTTCTCAGGCCAGTAGGATTGGATGGCATGGCATCAGAAAGGCTGAACGTTCTTGTCCAGCTTCGTCTTTGGAGGGATGGCTATTCCTTTTTGATTGCAACTATTGCAGAGGAACCCCAGGAAAATGATAGTGTTGGGACATGGGGCTTAAATTTGCCTTTGTTATGATGTTTGGTTTTCATGGTCCTTAAGACTGAAGTGTGGCTTAATTTTCCATTTTATTTGAAATCAGTTCACTTTTGTAATCAGTTGATGTTGTTCTTGTTTAAGGAAATAAATTATTTAATACTTCATTAACTATGTTGCAGCGTAATTGTGTAGAAATGTCAGGCTGGTACAGTTTGTATTTATAGTATACTTCTGTTCCTTCCATGAGCTTATGTTCTCCGGTCTATTCACAGCAGTGATTTAAGGGCACCCAATATCCAAGTTTCCTTGCTTCTCTGCCTTCTCTCATTCATTCTCTCCTTTCTCTCGAATGTCCTTTTTGCTGCCCTCCTTGAGTCTTTAGGCTGAGTGTGGAGTCATACTGGTTAATGCCTTTCTGCAAATGGATCTGTGACTATACTTCACAGTGAAATTTCACAGTGAAATTGAATCCGAGAGCTTCATAGTCTGTTTAATCTACAGCTACTCTTGGCTCTTACTATCAAAACGAACATTTAAAAAATTGGTCAATTATATGATGTGAATTAAAGATTGCCATCCTGCTGAGGGCTCAGTCAGCCTTGAAAAAAAAAATACCTTTGTTGTTAAAACAGCCTCCATTTGAGTATCAGCCAGCACCAAAGAGCTTTGGGTCATATGTTAATTTTATATTAAAAGATCAATTGTCACACTCTCTGATTTTATTGAAGCCTACACGAATTCCATCTCCGTGACTGTGGCTTGAATTCCAGGAAAATTTGCGTGCCTTTTCTGTTTTTCTGCTGCTTCACAGATATATTTTAACATCACTGTGGTCTAAATGTTTAGTTCTGGAAGAACCAAAGTGATAGAGAGCTGGAATTGCTTTATGGTCCACCATCTGCTTTACCATTTGTCTTCTGTAATGAGAACAGTAAGTTGGGCTTCGCTACCCATTTCTCTTTAAGGCTCTGATTTAGCGCATACCAGGAAGACGTGCACCATGTGTAGGCTTTTCCGGCCAGTAAGAGGGAGTTGCCAAATCTTCTGCGAAGGTTTTCCATTGAGCAGTAAGTGATGTAGGAGGGCAATTTATTGATCTTTATTCCCAGTTTGTGTACCAACGATAGTAACACATTTGTGAGCACCCTGGGGTAAAATGAAGTTTTCTATTGCATGCATACGGCGACATTTGAAAGGGACTTCCCTCTGTTTGGTTATTTGGTGTTCTCTCAAGCTCGTGAGTGTTTGAAACGATCTCAGAAGAGAAGCAAGGGGACACTTAGAAAAGTCTGATTGTTTAAGCCTCTGAATGCACTGGAGGCACGCAGCAGGCTGCGGGTTTTGACTCTAGGCATCTGAACACTGAAAGACGACAGCTGGTCGACGCTGTAACATGGTTACATTCTCCATCTGGTTTGCAATATGGGTGAAGATTTGCTGCAGATATGGATTGAATACCTTGCCCCAGTGAGTTCACAAATACGGCGCGTCCCTTAGCTACAGAACACGAAGTGTGGTCCCGAGCGCCAGAAGCATCAACTCTGACAAGTATTCGGCAACGAGGCGATAAAGAGAAAAGCAATATCATCTATTTAAAATTTGCTCTACTTAATTTCTCAAAGTGATTTTCTTCCATCTTCAAGAATCTGACAAAGAATTGAAAAATCTTAGGCCTGCTTTAAGTTTGGGACGACAGTGAAGTGAAAGGAAGATCAAAGGCATTTGTGTTAAATTGAAACTGGTAACACTTTGAATCTGGTATTCCTTCCTTTGAGGAGGTTATTTTTCTTAGCAAAACGACCCACCTTTGTATCTAAACATTTATTTATTTATTTTTAAAATTGAGATATGGTAACCTTATATCAGTTTCAGGTGTACAACTTGATAATTCAGTATTTGTATATATTGTGAAATGATCCCCACTTAGTTACACTTTTTTTTTTTCTGTGATGAGAACTTTTTTTTTAACCTTTTTTTTTAGAGAGAGTGGAAGGGAGAGAGAGATAGAAACATCGACTGCACACCTCCTGCACACCCCCTACTGGGGATCGAGCCAGCAACCTCGGGCATATGCCCTGACCGGAATTAAACTGGGACCTCTCATTCCGTGGAACGGCACTCAATCCACTGAGCCACACCAGCTGGGCTGTGATGAGAACTTTTAAGATGTACTTTCTTATCAACTTTCAAATATACAATACAGCTATTAGTTCTTTTTTTATTATTATTATTAATTTGTTTTTGTTACAGATGTTTCTCATTTTCCCCCCATTGACACCCTCCTCCCCATTCCCCCCACCGTATCCCCAGCTTTGTTGTCTATGTCCATTGGTCATGCATACATGCATATAAGTTCTGTGGTTTATCCCCCCCACCCCTTCCGCTGAGGCTTGTCAATCTGTACCCCACCTCTATGTTTCTGGGTCAACTTTGCTCATCAGTTTGTTTAGTTCATTATATTCCACAAATAAGTGAGATCATGTGATATTTGTCTTTCTCTGCTTGGCTTGCTTCACTTAGGATAATACTCTCCAGGTCCCTCCATGTCATCTCAAAGGATAAGAGATCTTTCTTTCTTACAGCTGCATAGTACTCCATTGTGTATATGTACCACAGCTTTTTTATTCATTCGTCTACTGGTGGACACTTGGGCTGTTTCCAGATCTTAGCTATTGTAAATAGTGCTGCTATGAACATAGGGGTACATATATTC